CCTTACAGCTGGCCAGCGTGACTGGCCCTCACAGCTGGCCCTTACAGCTGGCCAGCGTGACTGGCCCTCACAGCTGGCCCGCGTGACTGGCCCTTACAGCTGGCCCGCGTGACTGGCCCTCACAGCTGGCCCGCGTGACTGGCCCTCACAGCTGGCCCGCGTGACTGGCCCTCACAGCTGGCCCGCGTGACTGGCCCTCACAGCTGGCCCGCATGACTGGCCCTCACAGCTGGCCAGGGTTGGCAGCAGAGGTCCACAAAGAGCTCACAAACTCGACAAAACAAGCCAACACCCAGCCCAAAAACGGGCTTTAGTTTTGTCGAGTTGCAAGAAACTTCTGTCTGCTTTTGTTCCGTGTCACATGCACACTGGCAGGTATTTCCCCCACCCTGTGGTCATCTTTTCACTCTCTTGAGTGCACAAAAGTGTCACATTTTAATAAGTCCATTTTTTCCTTTTCTGGCTTGGTGTCATGTCTAGAGACAAAGTTGAGACTTAGCTCTATGCTTTCTTCTAAGAGTTTCATCGTTTTAGCCTTTTTAAACCTACTTTGAACTGCTGTTATGGATGGGTGAGGTGCGCTCTCCCCCCCACCCCCACCCACTGCTAGCCAGGTCCCAGCTTCATTTGTTGATAAGACTATTCTCCCCCCACTGAGTTGTCTTGATGTCCTTGTCCAAGCGCAACTGAACTTAAATTTGTTTCTGAATTCTAGTCCAGTGATCTGTTTCTGAGAATTTTATTATTTTTTTTAAATAAATGCAACATGAAAATTTTATTTAACGAAGGTAACAGGTAACGTCAAACGGGGACTTCAAGGTCTCCCTGGTGGCACAAGGGGTTAAGTCTCAGCACCATGGAGCTGTCTGCAGCCACCTCACCAGTCGGATCAGGCCAGGGAGGGACCCCCAGGGCGCAGCAGACCACGCCTGCCCCCCACTGCTCCCCTCAGCAGTGGATTTCAGTCAATCCACCTGTTTTGCTCCCCGCTCTGTCTCTGGTGAATCCTCTCTCCCCTACACCTCTGGCCTGTACCCCAGTACCCCAGTTCTGGTATGAACAAATAAATACATCTTAAAAAAAGAAAAGCCTACAAGATAGTTTGTGCTGAGCATTTACAGTACCCCTTGCAGCTGCAGGTAACTGCGCCGTGGCTGTGAGGAATGCAGCTCGCACAGGCTGGCGCAGTCTGCAGGCTGAGTCTTCCCTAAATACACAGCAAGTACACAGGCAAACTGCTCAGCCGCCCATCCGCAGCACACTTCACTCTGTGGGCAGGGCCTCGGCCAGTCGGAGACCAGGTGCGCGCTCGCTTGACCCTGTCTGCCTGCAGGGAGCTTCATGTTGAAACCCTCCCTCTCACCCCAAGCCCGCACTGTCCTGCACACAGTGAGCACTCACAAATACAGGCTGAGGAAGAAAGACAAGAAAGAATGAGCTAGGCTGCATGGGGCCCGCGCCGGGCCGCCAAGCCCAGCAGCTGCGAGGGCCGCAGGCTCGTTTGTCCGTCCCGGGCACACAGCACATCTGACCAGAGCGCGCTTTACTAAATCGCTATTTATTAAATTATAGATAGTAGTAACTATTTGGTTTACTTTAAAAATGCAAAGAAGGAAAAGGAAAACACGCGTCTTGCGTCACACACTCGCACCAAGACACAAGAGCAGCTTCATGACCAGGGCGGGGATCGAGTCCTGCCCGCGCCCGCAGCAGCCAGCCTGCGGGGGGGGGGGGGGGCCTGGCTGAGCTCTCGGGGCCCAGCTGCCAGCGCAGCGTCGCCCCGGGCAGGCTGCGGTGGCCCCAGGAACCCGCTCCTGTGGGGGGGAGCCCCCGCTCAGTGACGCGCGGCCCGCGAAGGCAGCGGCTCCCGAGCGTGAGCGTGAGCGTGAGCCGGGGCGGAACAGCTGCGACGTGCCATCCGCCGCGGGAGCACAGGCGCCTTCCGGGTGCAGAGCCGGGAGCGGCGGGCAGGCCGGGCAGGGTCACATGGTGGGGAAGCTGGCCAGGTTGGCGACGCCGCAGGTGTTGTTCTTGTTCCGCGCCAGGAGGATGTAGCCTTTGTCGCCCCAGCTCTGGCCCCAGCTGCGGCCCACAAGGCAAGGTCTTAGTTCTGTCCTTCACTGCGTCGCGAAGGCACCGAGTGCCGTGCCAGTCACACAAACACGCGTGTTTGCCCCAGAGAGTGCAAAGTCAGGGGAGGGGGGAGGTCTCAAAGGTGAGAGAGCCCTGATCAGGCGATTGGTGGGGCTTCAGTAAGAGAGCCTGGAGCTGAGCAGAGGCTGGGTGTGGCGCGAGCAGAGCAGGGGCTGAGGAGGTGGCCTGGGGCTAGGTAGGGAGCTGTGTCTGGAAAGCAGGAGGTGGGGCTGGGTCACCTTCACCCCTGACCGGCAGAGTGACATGAGTCGGGCGGGGCCCCTGGGAGTGCGCGGAGAAGCGTTTCTGAAGGGTCATCTTGAAAATGTGAGTCTAGAGCGTCAGAAAGTGGCCAGCGAGGCGGAGGCCAGTGCCGGGGCGGGGAGGACCCGCAGGAGAGACCCGCAGGAGAGACCCGCAGGAGAGACCCGCAGAGGAAGCGCGAGGGGGCGCAGGACGCCAGCGAGCGGGCGGGAGAGGCTGGCTGCAGTCCCTTCCCTAAGACCTGGGCTCCACCGTGTCGCCCTCCCGCCCGGGGCTTCCCACCGCCCGCTCTCTTGGGTGTGGGCTCCATGCTGGGCGGTGAGCACCGGCTGGGGAGAAGGCAAGCAGGGCTGCCGGGCCCTGGGCTGCTTCGGGGCTGCATGGCCTGCCAGCCTGGCCCCGGGGTGCCTGGCCTGCCCACTCCCGGGGAGCGGGGAGCGACTCCAGCGTGGCGGGAACCACAGTGGGTGATCAGTACCCCCAGATGCTGCTGCCCCACAGGGAAAGTAACGCCCATGGCTGTACCCCCAAAGGCGGGGAACTGGCCCAGGCAGCCTGTCATCACTGGCCAGCTTCTTTGGCGAGTGATGACCTCGCCTCCAAAGCGGAGCCGGAGGCCAAAGCGGCCGGCCAGCGCTGACCTCCGAGCGCCCTGCTGGTGCCAGGCAAAGCCCCTGGGGACCGGTCATCTCAGAGGGGAAACCAGGGAAACGCGCTATTCCCGGAGCCTCCGCTCGCTGTTCTTCGTGCTTGGCCGCGGTGCGGGCGAGGCGGGCTCTCCCTGGGCAGCGAGCCCACGCGGGCAGCGCGCCCTCCCAGCACGCCTGGCCGCAGGCCGCCGCCAGACTGTGGGCCCGTCTGGCTGCTGCTATCGGGCTCGGAGCGCCGCGTGGGGGGCAGGGCTGCGGTGACAGTCGGGCTTGGGGGTGCGGCAGCCGCGCGGCTAGCGGGGAGGGGTGCGGCAGCCGGCGGCATCGTTACCTGTTCTTGAGGATCCAGTGCTGGCGCCCCTTCTGGGCCCCGTAGCCCACGGCCAGAACCGCGTGGTTTATGTTCTCGCCGTTGCAGTTCTCATCGTAGTACACACCTGGGGACACAGCATGGGGCGACATGGGCGTCCTGCGCGGCACCGTGGCCCCGGCCTCTGGCAGCCCGGGCACAGATGCGTCTGCCCCGGCCGCTGCGGCTTCTCCCGCCCGGGCCCGCCTGACCCCGGGCAGCCCCGCACCTCTGCTGTAGAACTGGAAGGAGGTGAGACTGGCGTCGATGGCCACAGAGACGGGGCCCACGCGCGCCACGGCCCTCTTCAGGGCCTTCTCACTGCCCTCGGGGACCTCGCGGTAGCCCCTGCACTTGGCCGCCTTCCCGGTCGGGGTGTACATGCAGCTTTCGTCCTGGGGGGCGGGTGACCAGTGTTTTGAGTGGTGTCAGTGACGAAGGGGGGCGTGGTGGGGCCTAGGCGGGTGTCTCCTCGCCATTTCAGACAATGATGAACAGGAGTGGGAAGTGGGTAGGCGCGCTGGCCCCAGCCAGCCCCAGGTGGTTTTAAGACATAAATGGGAACGGAACGCTGGCAACTTTGAGACGGGGAGCGAATGCTGTCCTAGCAGGGCTAAGGAGGTTTCTGGAATCAACACTTCGTGACGCACAGGTGAGGTTCTGGCCTTGTGGTGGAGACGAGACGCGGAAGGCGGGAAGACGCGGACGGAGGCGCCGGGGTCCCGCCGGACTGCTCTCGCCGGCCAGGGGAAAGCACGCGCGGGGACCCTGGACAGCGCAGCAAGGCCCTGCGCAGCCCACCGCGGCTTGGCCGCCCGGTACCACACCGCGAGCGCGAGAGAAAGCTCGAGGCTCAGGCGGCAGCGCGCTGCCGGGTTGTGCGGGCCGTGAGCGCGCAGGGCGGAGGGCCGTGGCCGGCCGTGGGCACAGCGACCCCCACGCCTCCTTCAGGGCCGAGAGGCCCGAGCCTGAGCGCCCCGGTCGTGGGCACCTCCGTCCGGGGGGCAGGTCGCCCCGCCAGGAAGGCAGGATGGCGTCACGGAAATAGGGCTCCTGCCGCCCACGCGGATGGCGTGAGGCGGGCGGGCGGCGCTCACCCGGCCCACGTAGGGGTAGGCGTCCTCCGAGTCGATGCCGCGGTTCCTCTGCACGTACTGGAAGGCGCTGGTCATGTAGCCGCCGCGGCAGCCGTCGTTCTCGGACACACAGTCCACCAGGTTCTGCGGACTGAGGTTCAGGAGCTTGCCGGTCTTCTTCTTGAGCTGGCCCTCCAGGGCACCCACCGAGCTGAAGGCCCAGCAGGAGCCGCACTGCCCCTGAGGGGACAGAGCCCACCAGTCGGCGCTGTCCGCACCGTGGGTCACTTCTCCTAAGGCCTGCCGGCGCCTAGCACTTTGGAAATCTGACCACGCCCTTCTGCTGTGGCCCCCTGCCGTGGCCCCTCCCCCAACCGGGGACCCCCACCCTTACGCGGCGCTGCCCGGGCTGCGGGCTGCCAGCTGTCGTGAGCCCCGCCGCAGCAGCGCAGAGCGCGCAGACAGCCGCCCTCCGGGCCCGCAGGTCCTGCAGACCCCTAGGGGGTCTCCAGTCAAGCTGTATGGCTCTGAGTTTTCTCCTCAATGTTGTGATGAACCAACAGCGAACAAAATGACCTTTCAGGACGTGCTCTCCTGGCCTGCGGCTCACTGCACCTGGGCCCTGGGGAGACAGGCCCCTCCCCGCCTCGCTTCCTTATGTCAAATGCGGCTGAGTAATAATAGCGCACATAATGGAACGATGAAGATTTGGAAAGTCAATTCATTTAAAGTACGTGCATTTTTGACACAGTCTCTCAGAAAGTGCTAGCTACTATTAGTGTTCAGCCAGACAACAATTTTTTTTTTCTGCTCCGTTTTCTAAGAGGGAGGATGTCTTGAGGATAAAGGCTATGTCTCTGTCAACTGGAGCACCTGCTGCCTTGCCTACAGACACCTGATAGGTCGCAGAAAAAAGCGTTCGTTGGATCAGGGTTAAAATAAATGTCAAGTGTCTGTCTGGCCGGTGCACGCCGCGTGAAGGTCGTGGAAACTGGCACAGCTTTTCTGGGAGAGTCTCCGGCCCAGCACCCGGCGTCAGGGCTACTCTGCGTGCCTGGTCACCGCACGCGAGGGTGCATGCGCACAGTGCTTCAAGCAGCACTGTGAAAAGCAAAGCCAGAAACAACCTGCATGCAGAAAATGGACGATGTGTTCAAGGGACATAACAGGCCGTCTCTGCAGGCGGGGGTACCGGTCCTCGTCTTCTTCGGGTGCCCCCCTCCTTGGGAACAAAGACACACAAAAAGGACCCCCGGGAGGAGGGAGGGTACCTGGTTCTTCACAGGGGTGACATACCCCTTCTTGCGGTAATCGACGGCGTCCGGGACTCTGCCTGTCCAGTCCGGGGTGTACAGGGTGTCATTACTGCGGGCACGAGAGGGCGGCACTTTGAGCCCGGTCATCTTCTGGACCACCTCTTCGCTGGTCTGGGGCAAAGAAGAGCAGGCCAGGCGTCAGCGAGAGCCGCGGCCAGCAGGGCCGGCGGCCGGCGCTGCGGCTCCACTCACCATGTCCCCCAGGTGGTTCATGGCCAGTTCATATGTGTGGACACCCAGAGAGGCCTCGAGATTGTGGGTGGAGATGTGCTTCAGGTTCCTTTCCCAAATCAAACGCCGAGAGGCTTCATCCACCTTCACAGAGCACAGTTAGTTCCAGACTGTCCCACACAGAGCCACATGCAGGGCAGCCGAGGGTTTTAGGAGATGAAACTTAAACTCACAGAGAACTTCAGATACATTGTTGGGGAGCTTACCTTGGGGTCACTAGCACGCAGAAAGAAACACATAAATAAATCCAAAATGGAAAAGTTGCTTATGGATGAAGAGTCTTAATCTGATGTTTCTCCAAAGAAAAATGTTCTAAGGAGAAAATGAACAGTGCTTGGAGGCTGAGAGGAGGACTGGAAGGAAACTGAAGGACTAGGGAGCAGGCGCTCTGCCGACAGCGTGTGGAAAGCGTCCGCTGGGTCGGGGCAAAACAATGTCAGGTGTCTGTCTGGCCGGAACACGCCGCAGCCGCGTGGAGGCTGTGGGAAGCCGGCAGGGACCTCTCTGGGAGAGTCGCCGGGCCCAGCACCCCGGCGGGCGTCGGGGCTCCTCTGCGGGCCTGGCCACCGCACGCAGCAGCGACTGCGGCAGCACCCCAAGGCGGTCGGCGAGGCCGGGGCGCACCCACCTTGCTGCCGTATCGCTTCCCGTGGTTCCTCTTCCACAGCTCCCACTGACGGTCCAGCGCGTCGTCAGGGTACAGCGCGGCACTCGCCAGGGGCAGCAGCAGCAGGGCCCTGAGCCGCCACATCCTGGAGGGAGATCCAGGGGAGTCTTCCACTTGACTTGGGTGGGGCGGGAGATGCGCTCTTCCCCGGGAGGAGCCACAGGCTCCTTCCAGAAGCTAACAAAATTTTCAACATGGCTGCTGGAGTGCGTACCCAGAAGGCAGAACCCCTCGCTCCAGACCAAGAGGCCACAGAAACCGAGGCCGTCAGGCAGCAGGCGAGGGTGGCGGCCCGTCCCCAACAGCCAGCCGGCGCTGCGAGTGGGTTTGGACCCCGGGCCCAGAAACGGCAGGAAGAGGGCCAAGGGAGGTCTCAGCATCCGCCACCGCCGCCCCAGCAGGCCTGGGCACCCACGAAACAGGACGGGAGCAGCGGGGCGGGAGGACCCTCAGAGGGGACTTGCGCAGTGCCTGTGTCCTGACTGCTGGGCATTCTCCCTCCCTCTGCAAGCCCTACACTCGCCAGTTCCTGCCAGGGGAAACACTGACGGCACTTCCGACCTCAGGAGCTACTTACTGTCTGTCTCCAGGCTTCTCCTCTCTCATCCTGCTCCCTCCTCAGGCAGGAAACTACTAATCTCAACCAGCTGTGGAGGTTTTCTGACTTCTGCCAACCAGAACCTACCACTGCCTCTGAGGACAAAATGCCTCTCAACCAAAGTTCGTTGGAAGCATGTAAGAAAAGGCAACGTTCTGTTATCTTATTCACAGCTTTCAGAAATTTACCCTGGCGATTCTCCTTGCCAGGTGGCTTAACTGCATCCTCCCTTTCGAGAACAACTTGCACCCGGCAGTGGGCCACTCAGCTTGTGTTATAGTCCCTTTTCTGTGCAATCTTTGCAAACTGGCAAGCCGTCCCTGCCAGCGATACCGGAGTGTTACCGGCGCTGCAATGTCTCACAGTGCAGTGCTCAGCTTCCTGCATGCCTCCGCCCACAGTGAGTTAACTCCTGTGCTAGCCTGGACGGAAACAAAACTCCAGACATTCTGAGGGGGAGGTAAAGGGCCCCCTACGATCAATCACAGGTCAGGCCGTGGAGGAACCCTGGTTTCCACCTGCAGTTGTTCCGGCTGAGGCGGCATCGCTTGTTTCCATCCCCCCAAGCCACTCCTCTCACACCCTTGAGCGCCCCGCGGGAGTGAGACGCTGAAGATGTGGCAGGCAGGCGTTACCTGCTTCTGTCGTCCTCGTCCTCGTCCTCGTCCTCGTCCTTGACCTCGGCTGGTTCTGCGCGGGGCGGCTACTGCGGGCGGGCCAGCGACCCAAGGCTGCATTTATCCCCCTGGATTGCGGAAGTGAGCGCCAGCTGCTGGCTGGAAAACTTGGACAGGGAGGAAGGGGGCTGGAAGTGGGGCTGGGGGGCGTGGCGGCCGGCGGCAGTGCGCGGGCGGCCGGAGGAGCTGCCTGGACCCTAGTTCCCCGTGAGTCTGAGCAAACAAACCTCAAACTCGTCCTCATCTTTGACGGTAAATGGGACACAGCTCTGGTCTTGTTCTTGGGGGGGCGGGGTGCAGATTTGCCTGCCCTTTCCCATTACTTCTCTGAACTGGAAACCTGCTTTCCAATGTTGGAGCCTCGCATGAAAAGCTAGGTAAGTACAGTAAAGGCGGCCACAGGCTAAACATCATCTGTATTTTAGAAACGTGTAGGCTAAAAGTCGTCCTCGCCTTGAGCGGGGGAGGACTGAAAGACGGGGCCAGTTTCAGAGGAAACCAGACAGCCCGCCCACCCGCGCAGCACCGCGCCAGGGCCTGGGCGCTGACGGATCCACATGTGACCTCCGGCCGCCAGGGCTGAGCGAGGGCCTCCGGCCTTGCTGGCAGCCGCTGTGGTCCAGTCATATGAGCGTCTCCGAGCGCTTCCCCAGCACCAACCACGGGACGCATCATGAGAGGCCTGGTCAGTCCCTAAGCACATCCCCAACGTTTTCTTCCATAAAAAGACACCAGGGAACAACGAGGGTGCAGGAGCAGCGGGAGGGGGCGAAGTCCCACCCAGCTGGGCTACAGACCTCAAGGTCCCGGGTTCAAATTAAGATTTGCTGCAGCAGCGTGTGGTCCGAGGGGGAATGAGGGTGAACCGAAGCGCGCCAATCCCCACCCGACTCCTTTCCTCCAGGGGCACACTGGGAAAGGGGCCGGACGCCGCGCTGGGCTCAGGCCCCATGGCACCCCAGCCCCACCCACGGTCAGCTGCCTGGGGACTCCACTGCCCAAAAGACACGGTTGAGGGGAGTCACCGTCGGGGGGGACAGTCACAGGGACAGTCACTGTCAGGGGGACAGTCACAGTCAGGGGGACAGTCACGGTCAAGGGGACAGTGTCAGGGGGAGGACAGTCATGGTCAGGGGGACAGTCATGGTCGG